GTTCCCGTTAGTAGTGCGGGAATATCTTTTCTAACAATGAACGTATTTCTTTGAATGTTCTCAAGGAAGATTCGTGTTCAATGTATGGTGTGCCCTTTTAAATAATAGAATTTTGGCATATAGTATCTACCATGAAAACTTAAACTCAGGTAGATAACGCAATATATTTGACAGCACATTGAGCCTTATGTCGACAATTTACCATTAAATATGTCTCAAATTATATATTTTCAACATGACGGAGCACCAGCATATAATGCCAGAGTTGTAATAGTTTTAGAAAGAACAAAAAATGTTTGCTAACTCTTCAGTAACTATAAGAAATATACCCAACAAATTATATATATTTGTTATCAGAAAAAAATAACGCATTATTTTAGGTTATAGCCAATTATGGTTTGTATTTAAAAAGATAAAGTTACTTGTAAAATCTCGAAAATAGAGCATACGAAAAAAATTCTACCTACGCCACTGAATTCTTCGTAAAAAGTTGCCCATATAATGTTTTAATTATAATAGTGCATCTTTGCTAATAAGTGAGATATTCGCGTTTGTCGCCCTATCGGCAGAAACTGAAAGCTTGCGAAAGTTGTACAAGATTCATGTAAGGAGTTCCTAGAGTTCGATATCATCAGTAATCATCGCAACTATAGCGTTAACCCTTATCCTGATCGGAATACGTTACTACAACATCCAGAAGAAAATAACAGCACAGCTAACGAACCAGGATTCTGGAAATAATCGTACAAACCCCTGACTCACTCCAAGGAGTTAACAACCGAGAAAAGAATGCGATTTAGATAAAAGTTGACGAAGCTCTTCAGATAAGAGTTTAGTATACAGGATGTCTCACGTAACTGGATCGTTGTAACTTTTTCAGGTTCCACTATTCGTAGAGATTTGAAAGTTTGGTAGCATGGGTTGTTCATTCGGAACTTTCGATCTAAAATATTTTCAACATGGCCGCCACTTTCGGTCCCTTTATGACACTTAGGAAATTGTTTAAAATAATTGGTTACCATAGTTACTCATGGTTACTGCTATTTTTATTATATCATTGAAATTTGAAGTAGTTAAATTAGAAGTAATTTTTCTCGAAAATTTATATTATTTTATATTTATGTAACAAATATTAATATTGACTGTACTAGATTCAGAAAAAATCCTCTTTCATATTCTGTAATAAAAATGGGGGATTGCCATTTGAAATAAATATAGATGATGTCATAATTCGTTTAAAAATGACAGAAAAAATTTAAAATTTGAGACCCATTTCAGGGATTTTTCCATAAACCGTTTATAATGATAATATAATTTATAATCTAATGATCATCTTCATTTCCAGTGGATAACAGAAGAACTTGAGAAAATTAAAAGACGTTTAGATGCGCTAAGTACAATCATTGAAGTAACGCTGCAGCAACGTCGAATTGTTTCTGACTTGATCTTCCTTTTCAAGTTTGTTAATAGCATGCTGGATGCCCCCGATCTTCTGCCTGAATTGAGCTTCAATGTACCACAACAGCTTACACGTTACAATGCCACATTTCGCCTTAATATAGCTGACACCAACCTTTATCAGAACTCGCCATTAGTTCGAATTCTTAATTGCTATGACCAGGGCTTCGACCATGTATCTCTCTTTAACGTTTCTTTACGCTCTTTCAGAGAATGTGTACTAACTAACGTATAGCGGATGTTTTGTAGATCGCTTTATTGTTGTAATTATGTTAGTTTATGTTACAATTTTTTTTATGTAAATTTTTCGGTATTATCAGGATGCTTTGTTGGAGATATTCTCCCTATGCTCCGAATGCTCTGTATGCATCCCGAACATGTAATAAATAAATAAATAAGCTTTCTGGTAGCGTCTTTCGTAAACGTTTCCAGACATCTGAGGGTGCATCCCCCGGTCTACACACACGAAAGTTAAGATAAGCTCGCTTTTCGTGTCGAATAACACGAGCCATAAAGTTTCTTAATTCTTTATATTCGTTATGATCCGCAATAGCACTGTTTGTGGAATATTTTTAAGTTAATATTCCACAGCGTTAAAAAGTTCTTATAAAAAAAAACAAGGGGGTGGCGAATTTCATCCCTTTAGAGGGTGCTGGGAGAGTTTAATGTATGCTTGAAAATAAGGTCTTAATCAGTAGTAAATACGTACAAAGTTTCAAATTCTACGGTTTATTTACAGCCAAATTACAAAACAAAATGTAAATTTTTGGCTCAACGTTGACACGTTGCGACCCTACGTTTATATAAAAAACTTGTGTTATTTGGGCAAGTACTACGTCCTAGTAACGTTTCCCGATTAAAAACTGAACCAGCGAATATACAGGTCGCTACTTTACAGACACACTGTACAATCTGATGAAAATGAACAAAACTGTAATAATCCGGCGGCCCATTAGCTCAGTTGGTTAGAGCGTCGTGCTAATAACGCGAAGGTCGCGGGTTCGATCCCCCCATGGGCCATTTTTTTTTATTATGGATGTGAGTGAGGTGAGTCATTCATTCTCTTATTATTTCTAAAATATTTTTTTTTCTTAATTTCCCTCGAGCTATGTTTCTTAAATATATATCTAAATTGGTATACAAAATTTTGAATAAATTTATTTATTTTGTTTATGTTTCTTATTGTAACCATTGTCTTTAAATATTAATATTTAAAGACAATGTTGTAACTAATTATAGAGAGTTTTGTTGCTTGGGGTCCAGCTGCACCCTGCTCGGTATGTAACGACAGATATAAATTTTGCCTACGTTAAAAACCAACCGAGGTACAAATAAACCCCAAATTGTTCAAACGACGGGGATTCCCCGTTTCTTGGCTTCACGTTTACAGTGATTGTCAAGTACACGTTTATAAAAATGAGTGAACTACGAAAGTTTCGAAATGAAAATAAGCTAACTGACGAAGCACTATTGGCGATATTAGAAACGGACTATTACGACACTTACTTTAATGATTTAGCACTACAGGATGGTGCAAGTTGTAGTATTGAGGAGACTGACATACTGACTGAAACTGATGAGATAGATGACGTTTTACAAGTTAGTGGTAGGGAAAATGAGTCGACAGATTCTGTAGATGAAGTTGGCCCGTCAGTAAACTTTTAAACCGATCATCCAATATATTCGTCTAAAGATGTGTGTGTGCAAAGGTTCCTTTTACTACGAAGATCAAGAGACGAAAATGTAATATCCAAAAGGTTTCTCCAGGTTTGACTAGATATAGTTCCCAATTTTCCACCATAAAAGAAGCTTTTGACCTATTTTTTCATAAGATATTATGGATGTGATTTTATCGGAGACGAATAGAAAAGCCGAATCATATTATGCGAGAAATGAGACGGATTTTCTCCTTTTGTGCAAGAAGAACTAGAAGCATTTATTGGTTTGCTTATTATTTTTGGAGCCTGGCACGCTGCTAAAGAGCCAATATGTGTACTATGGAGCCAAGATCCAACTTTATGTCGGCCTCTAGTATCATCTGCCTTGTCTCGCAACAGATTCCAACAGATTATGTATTTTCTAAGATTCGACAATTTTGAAACAAGAGAAAAAAGAAAAGTCACTGATAAATTTGCCCCAACCAGAGATGTTTTTGATGGTTTTGTAACAAATCAGTTGTCAGAAAGAGGGACCTAGGTATTATTTTTACCAACAGTTTATGCTTTGCCGAGCACGTGAAAACCATAACTTCCGCAGCACTTCGACTCTTAGGATTTATTATAAGAAATGCTTACAGTTTTTCAAATGTGGAGTCGTTGAAATTATTATTCAATTCATTGGTGCGATCTAAATTAGAATACGCGGTAATTGTATGGGATCTTGGATCAGACCTTTATTCAAACTTAATCGAAATTATTCAAAATAAGTTTATTCGGTATACTTATTACAAACAATTTAATGCCTTTATCGGGTTCAGATCGTACGAATTTGCGCGTACATTATTTGATATAACTAAGTTATCTATTAGAAGGAAAATCATATCGCTTTGTTTTCTATGTAAAATATTAAATAATAAAATAGATGCACCTTTAATCTTGGAAAAGATTGGTTTTTACGTNAAAGGGTAGTGATGGACCTGGTAAACCATTTATCTTCAGGATATGGAATAACTACTGATAACTCTTTTACCAGTATTGAGTTAGCTAATAAGCTTTTAGATAAAAACCTTACCTTGTGTGGTACACTGCGTAAAAATAAACCTTATATTCCAAAAGAACTACTTCCAGCAAGATATAAGAAAGACTTTTCAAGCATGCTTGCTTTTATGGAAAATAAAACATTAGTTTCCTACGTACCAAAAAAAAATGCGGCAGATATTCTTTTATCGACAGAACATAACGATGACAAAATAAGTGGAGAAAAAACTGATTACAAACCAGACATTATCTTACAATACAATAAAACAAAGGGTGCAGTGGACACAACAGATAAATTAGCGAAGGAATTTACGACACAAAGAAAAAGTAATCGGTGGCCGATGGCAATATTTTTTCATCTGCTGGATGATTGGTGGCATCAACGCCTATAAACTTTGGATGTTGAAAAATCCAGATTGGAAAAAAAAATCGCTTGGATAGGAGAAGAATGTTTTTGTTGGAGTTGGGCCAAGAATTAATTAGGAAAAACATAATTCGTAGATACCAAACTGACAAGTCGTTACATTCCAGTATAAAACAATCCATGTTAACCATTTTGCCAGAATTAAACGTAAGGAACGAACAACCTGTTCCCGTTATTGGCAGAAAGCAGCGATGTTTCTTATGCGACAGAAATAAAGACAGGAAATCTCGAAAGTTTTGTATTTGGTGCAATCAGTTCGTATGTGCAGAACACTCAAAAAATAGAACAGTTTGTAACAAGTGTGATAATTAAATCATTATTTAAAATGTTACTAAAATGCTTGTTCTTTTTTCATAATTATTTTTGTTTTTATTATTTCTAATCATTTCATATTATTTTTTCAAAATGCGTTTACTCATTTATCAAGGCATTTTATACCCAGAATGTGTTTTATTTTTAATAGTACCTAATTATAACATTAAAAAAATAATAATAAGTCAAAAAAATGTTGGGGTACATTTGGACCCCACACATTTAATGTAAGTTTTTGACCACGGGTTTATGAAGGTTAATTAATGGCAAAATGAGTGAAATTGCATAGACCGGATTGGATTAATCAGGGGTGATCAGTTCTGAATTGTATCAAGCGCGATATCGATCTCGTAAACTTGAAAATAGGCCAGCGGTTACTCCCCAATATCCTGTTGCAGAAACATTTTGTAACAAGTATTGAAAGGTATCAATTAAAATGAGTAATCTTCCGGATATAGATAATTAAAATTTACATTGGAAATTTAAGTGAAATGAATTTATTATAATAAGGTGTTCTAAAAATATAATGGTTATTGAAGGATTCGTTTTGTACAAACTTCTTTAAAACTTTATATAAAGATACAAAAGAAAATTTGTTGTAAGTTTGAAGTAAAATAAACATATACATGTTATCAAAACTAAGTTACAACTTTGTTTGAAATTCTCTAGAATACTATCTAATTAAATTGTAAAGTTAATTTCGGATCTATAAACCAATTTATAGTTTAACCAAACTTCCTGCTATTGTTTAAAAACAAATTGAGTTGAGTTAGGAGTTCCTTTCAAAGGCAATCGACAAAGGCACGAACGTACCAACTAACGACGTGAACTGTAAAGAGAGAAACACTTGACCCTTCCCCTTGACTTTTCTTCCTATGCATTCTTTGACTGCATATTTGGAATCTAAAATTGTACGTATCCTTTCAAACTTTACATTTGAAATGAAACGTTTTCAAAGTTTCTGCATACTTAGTTTTCGAAGTTAAATCAATACAAAAACGAACGTTTATCATATTTCTATATATAGCACTTCCATGTTATTTCTAATGACGCAAATATCCTTTCCTAAATTGAAATATTATAAACACATTGTTTCTTTGAAAATAATTTTAGTACAAAAATTAACTTTGAAAAGTTTTAATGCAAAAAAAGTTTTTTTCTTACCTGTACAAGTTGTTAATCTATGTCTTGGACTTTGCGTACTTGGTGTACTATGATCACTGCTAAGGTCTGCTGCGTAATCGGTGGTGGAATCTTGTCTTCCCGGAGACTTGTGCCTGGCGCGCTCCTTGTGCTTCCCGTGGCCCCAACGGTTCTGCAACACAACCGACGCGAACTTGAACGACGATGAAATGCTTTAGATAGGTGTACTGCGAGCGGTCAGAGATTATCGAAAAATCGTGTATGGCGCATGCTTAGCGCGACGCCTGCGGACGCAAATTTTATTAATCTCATTTGGATTAAAACACGCTTTATAAATAAAAAATATTAGAGTGGTTTTGAATGGAGAAATATACTTCAGGGCGCTTTTACGATTTTTTTTACGATGACTGAAAAAAAAATAATCGCCCCCGGGTGGGATCGAACCACCAACCTTTCGGTTAACAGCCGAACGCGCTAACCAATTGCGCCACGGAGGCTGTGTGCGTATATTTAATATAAATTTAACACAAAGTAATACAAAAAATAAAGATTTAAAATGGTCTACACTCAATTTTCTCATAGTTATAAGTCACTTGTATTTAATATTAAGTACATATTTAATATTAAGGTAAAAATACTCTTTACTGATCCAGTTCCTATTCCTGACATATTTGTCATATTTTCTTGTAACACAAAGTACAGGGTGTCCAAATTTCGCTGTCCGCATAGGCTATCTCCGAAACTAAAAGAGATAGATAAAAAGTAGCTTACATGTCATGATCTCGTTTTTCGAGAAAATGCTAATGCCGAAAACTCCGAACAGCTATCGTCTTTTGTTTTCGCCCTATCGGCAAAAACTGAAAATTTTACGAAAACGACAATCGTGAATATCTCACTTATTATCAAAGATGGAGTATTATAAATAAAACATTATATGGGCAACTTTTTTACGAAGAATTCAGTGGCGTAGGTAGAATTTTTTCCCATCTTTTATTTTCGAGATTTTAGAAGCAACTTTATTTTTTTAAATGGAAACCATAGTTGGCTATGACCTAAAATAATTTGTTATTTTCTTCTGATAACAAATATACAGATGTATCTGAATGACGTGCCCAAACTTCAGGGGGTGATTCTATAGGCAATTTTAAGGGTACTTTGATATATCAACCATGGGCGACTTCGGCTCCCCTAAGGAGCTACACCCCTCCAAAAATGGCGGAAAATTTTGGTTAAATTTGCTTTTCTCAAAAACTATAAACGCTAGGAAAATGAAATTTGGGGAATATGTTTAACTCATAATAGGGCACGTTTTGACCTTATTTGTACTTCATCCTGCCCTTCTAAACTACTAAACGTAACCACCCCCGTTCAATTTATGCCTAGATTTTTTTTATGAAGATGATAAATACATTGGAAAAATTTCAGTTAGATAGATAAAACTATTCTAAAACTTTTTTGTCTCTCTGATGTTCTTCTAAAATTTAATAATTTCTGAGAAAAAAAATAATTAAGCAAACACTAACTGTTAAGCTGTAGGGTTGTTAATTGAAAGTTGGAATAAATTTTTAATGAAAAAATCTTAGTAGGTTTTGCAATCTTTGTCAGAAATATTTTTGACGTTTAAATGTCAGTGTTTTTCTTACTATTATTATTTTTTTCAAATTAATTTTTAAATAAAGTTTGCATTTTGCGCTCGTTCACACGACGTTTTAAAATTTTAAATAAAACAATAATAATAGTAAGAAAACCACTGACATTTAAACGTCAAAAATATTTATGACAAAGATTGCAAAGCCTACTAAGATTTTTTCATTAAAAATTCGTTCCAACTTTCGATTAACAAGTCTTTTAAAAGAGCATGTAATGCTCTTTCAAACAAGACCAAAAATATTCAAATCGGTTGAACGGTCCACGACATATTAAAATGTAAACATTTGAAAACGCATTGGCCTCCCCCTCCCTTATTATGACAGGTATGAGAAATATCGCAAAACAAAAGCGATGCGGTATTATCCAAGCTACTAAATGATGTTGTCAAAGTTATAGCTCATCGTCTAACTTTCTGAGATAGCGGGAATTTTATGTTTCTCTATGGCAGTTACGCCCCCTATGGGTCGAATTTCAAAATAATTTCCAGCTATTTGTCTTGCCCACTTTGCTTATAAGGATTTTTTTCCCAAACCTCTAGGCCTTACCGTTGTCGAGATACAGCCGCTCCGTACGCTTAACGGGACATCCTGTATATAGAGCAATAAAATTGACAGATAAACCATTTTTGAAAGAAATAAAACAAAAAATATATGATATTTTGTTAAATAATTTTTATCCCAAACACTTGATTAATATGTCATGGTTTACAATACTAAATAATATAGATGGATTGAAAGTCAAAACAAATAATATAACCCCACAAGATGATCAACAAAGGGCAATGATATGAATAAAACGAATAAACCAACTATTAGACAATCCCTAATTACACAATTCATACCTAGATAAACTAATACAGGGCAGAATGTTCCAGAAAGCGATCTTAGTAATCAGGGAAATATTAACAAGAAATATAATAACAACAAATGAAAATTTTAAGTAACAATGGAACAGAAACCTAATGCTACTTTTAATAATAGTAATTATTTTTGTTCACCGTGCAATTAGAACAACCCGAAAAAGTGTGATGCATTAGTTAGTTTAGGTAAATTAACGTCACTCATTTTACAAATTATTGAATTTTTAAAAAATAAAATATTTATTGACAAATAAACATCTTTGTGACTACCTAGCAACCAACTTGTATAACGACTTTGACTTTTACGGAAAAAGTTGCAAATAAATTTTTGATTTACTATTGTTCGCATTAAAGTCATCAAAATGCGAAGGTGGTCGCCTGAAACCGATAAACTATTGAACAAACCTCGATGTTATGACACATTACAGCCTTAGATGTCTTAAACCTGACATCTGCGGCTGTAATAAATGTCATAACATTTCTCGGTATGTTAATATCTATTATTTGTTTATTGTTTTTTGTAGTTATGGTTTTTATTATTATTATTATTATTATGTTATTAACATAACTTATCATTACGATATTATAATGAATGTGGCGGTTGCCACATAGATAAAAGAATGACTTTAGCAGGAGCAGCTAGAAAAACTAACGCTAGCGGATCTTATGGAATTAATTTCTTCTAACTTATGGAATTTAATGAAATTCTTAACATCTTATTGAAAAAAAATCTTAAAGCCACACTTATTTTTGCGTGTCTAAATGTTTTGAATTAGAGTGTACAAAACCATAATAAGACACATCATCATCATCTATGGCTGTGAAACATGGATTTTAACAAACGATATTGATATATTTGAGAGAAAACTGTTGAGAAGAATTTTAGAGCCATGTAAAAAAACAATAAGTGGAGAAGTCGATACAATTATACTATTACCTTAATCCAGGGACTATAATTAGCAAGAAAATGCAAAGAGTGAGACTGAAAGAAAGGTCACGACAAAGATAGGAAAAGCGGTTGATATTGTTGCAACAGAAATGCTAGGATGCAGGAATTAGAAGAGAGAAGGAAGAGCTCAAGATGTACGAGAGAGAAAGAAATTGTATTTAATCGATTGCAACGTATTTTTAATTAAAATAAGTGTAATATAGCTGGTTATAAATTCTCTATATAACAATTTTCAATCGGATTATTGGTTTAGAGTATTAATGAATTTATCCCGTATGGATTTCTCGTAATTTCTTCGAAAGACCATTATCACTTGATGTAATAATCATTGTAATATTGCAATTAAATATATTAGTTAAAAACGTTATAACACAAAATAAAATTGAATGGAACATATCGATATATAAATAAAATTTCTTTTCATTTCCTTATTAATCCATAAAAATATCTCTAATAACAACTTGAATAATATTCATGTAGTTAACTTTATTAATAATGAAAGATATATCACAAAAATAAAAAAAAAGATCAAAATATTTAATACATAAAATGTTAATTATTAATCAAAAAATCAAAAGTATTTAAATTTGGCAATTTTATTAAATAAAAAGGATATAAGTCTGAAATGGAAAAACATGGAATAAAACGTCTTATGCATAAAATGTTACGTAATAGTCCATAAAACACTTATAAGAAGAGACATACATGAAATTTAAAAATGATAAGATATGCAACAAAGTGTACAAAATGTTTTTCCGTTCAACGCACCAGCTTTATAATTATAATTATTCTAGTATTACAGTACAATATAATTTCAATATCTTTCGTTTTTTTTGTTTACTCTACTTTGGTTAAGTTGAAAAGCAGTCTTGGACTGAACTTCGCCGATTCAAGGTACTTATAATTGTAAATTCTGTATTGTTATCTGAATAAAGTCATTTATTATTATTATTATTATTAAAACATAAAATATTGGTTAATATTCAATAAACCATTTAATAATAAAGCATTAATCGATTCTCTTCTCCTGTTTTATGCAATATATAGTTATATTATGTTATTAGTAATGCATAAAACAAATACTATGAAAATTTAAAGTATTTACAAAGTTCTAGGTCATATAAGATGCCAGGGCGTTAGTTTACGCGTGTAAAGAGAGCTAGAGAAGTTTATCTTGAAACCGACTTATTTCAATTCGTAGAACTTAAATTCGATTCAACTTATTGAGTTGCAATTTTAACACATTATTCTTCACGCCATTCTAAAACAGATAAGTATCTAAATTCGATGTTTTGATTAATTAAAAAATGATGGAACAGAGTTTTTAATACATAAAATAGAACTTATTAATTTTTAAAACGTTACTAATAACCGATTCTATTCCCCTGACGAAAATTGTATCGTTTCATAACTCAAACGTATATTAATTAGTCAATTTCGTTTATTAAGAATGATATAACTCATATATTTTATTAATTAAAAAAGATATTACTCAAAAATTAAAAAAAAATTGCCACTTATTAATTCATAAAACAGTTCAAATGATCAACTTTTTTCCTTGTATTAATATTTTGTGTAGCCGCTCGATACGTATCTAAATTCGTCAACTTTATTAGTGGAATAATATAAGACAAAGGGAATCTAAATTCGGCGGTTTCATTAATTAAATAGGATATACCTATGTAAAATGGAAAGAGATGGAATAAAATGCAAT